CAGGATTACAACATACAAATAATCAGAGATACAAATACAAATACAAATATCATAAATTAAGGAAATATATAATTTCGTTATTTCGATATATACATAGCGAAATAAATAAATAATTAACTAATTTGGCCAGGTGTTGCAATACTAGTTTTAAAGGCAGGAAGCGATTCTTTATTTCGTAAATCATCTGAGAGGCTATTCCACAGTTTAGCCCCTCTATAGCTAAGACTCTTTTAAAGATGGTCAGTCTTATGTTGGGGCAAATAGAATTTAATGGAAGAACCTCACAAATTGAAATGCCGGGAGGAAGGCGTTTCTCGGAAAATGTCAGAGAGTCGTTTGGGTGCTAGATCATGAGTTATTTTATACATGTGGCTTGCTACAAATCGAGTCCTTCGTTCCTTTAAAGGCTTCTATTGGAGCTCAGCTAGAGCAAGTTCAGACTGTCCATGTTCGTTTTTACGACCCATGATTATTCTAGCAGCCCTATTTTGTAATTTCTGTAAACGATCAGAAAGTGTCAAATTTATAGTATCTCAAACTTCCCAGCAATAATCAAAATGCGGTAAAACTAGTGCATGGTGGGTACATATGAACGTGTTGTGATCAACATAACATTTTAGTTTTCTAACCACCCCAATTCCGGATGAAATCTTTTTGGAGATTTCTTCAATGTGTTTATTCCAAATAAAAATTCATCAATATAGACCCCAAGTGCCTTTGTTTAATTTACCCTTTTAATTGGTATGTCGCCGACATACACTTTGGGAGCGAGAGATAAGTTATTGATATTATGCTAGATCCGATTAATAAGGGGCGGATCATTTGATTTTTGAGGGGGGGGGGGTTGGAATATTCAGACTGTGCAATATTTTTTTTCCGCCCAGGCGAACAAGGCAGATATTTTTTCCTGTAAAAGTGCAGCGCAAGATATTTTTTCCAACATACTTCGCGGCAGAATATGCCTCTCATAATAACGGCTTACAGTAACTTAAGGCTTTCATATAGCCATCGTTAGAGACCTAACTGGGGTTTTCAGTCGGAGGAGGCCGAGAACTGAATCCCAAGAGGGGCCAAGGATTTTTACTGTGCTCTCTTTTATATGGTTATGTCTTAATGTTCCCCACACTAACGCGTGCAAGTTTACTTACTAAAAATGTTTAACTGCACCAAAACCTAAAACATGCAGGGATATATAGAGTAGAGTACTCGAAAATGAGGGGAGGGTACAGTATATGAATGACCTGTAACCTTGAGGGGTTTAGGGGCCTGCTCCCCCGAGAACATTTTAAAATTTGAACCTCGGAAATGCTATCTCCTGCGTTTTCTGCCATGGATTCGTCCACGACAACTGTGATGTACTAAGCCTAAGGAACACTTGCTGTCCCTTATTTTAAACAAGGGAAATCACAAAATGAACTTTGATTAATATGTAATAAAACAAAATTTCAATAATGCGATTTTTAACTGCCTTCCGAAAAAAAAAAGTTCCACCAAATATAATTCTGTAGCTTTTCAATCGTTCATACGGATAGCTTGTTGGGGATCGGGTTTCATCCTCTTCAGGAATTTTTTTAAAATCTAGACTCTCTAAACTGGCATTTTCGCATTAAAATCACCGTATAGAATCCCTCTGATATTGTCCACTGTTCACCCCGTGTTCTTTTAAGCAAATGTGCCTGGTCAAAAAATGCAAAATCTTGCAAACCTGTGGACACAATACTGAAGTGAAGAGCATCAGTAGATTTACATGTAGCAAATTTTTTTTGAGCGCTCTCTTTTGCATGATATTGTTTTTCTCGATTGTATGCTGCATGATTTTTTTTCTTTCTCCTTGGGTTGCAGGAAATGTTTTTTCGAAATCTTCCAACCCCCCTCCCTCAAATATCAAATGGCCCACCCCTAAGTGTTCAGTTTTGAAAAGATTTAAAGATAATTTATTTGCAAACGGCCATTGTTTAACATTTGCAAGGTCATGCTTAATGGCCACTTCTGCATCAGAAGTTATTTCGCCTGAGGCAGTTAATGTTGTATCGTCAGCAAATATTCTTGCCGAGGAATACTCCAAACTGTCTGTTAAATCGTTTATATAGATTAAGAATAGAAGTTGGCCAAGAACGGAACCTTGTGGAATTCCAGACCTAACTATCTTTGCACAGGATAATTCACTGTTAACTGAGCACATTTGCGTTCTGTTAGTTAAATTATTATACTTTTTAGTAGATTTAAGACTGGTAATTCCATGACATATAAATCAAGTTTCTTCAGTAAAATATCGTGGTTTATACGTAGTATCAATAGCTTTTTGTAAATCAAGAAATACTGCGATGTTAATTTTCACACGGTCCATATTAACAAACCATTCATTTGTGCAGTTGTGCTATCTAAAAGTGCAGATGCTACGGAATGAAACTGTTTAAAGCCAGATAGCAAATTAATCTAGACAAAATAATCATATAATTGTCCTAGTATTTTTTCAAAAACGTTACTAATAACAGGTACGTAGAATGGAAATAGGACGATCATAATTATTAGATAAGTTTCGTGGACCTTTTTCGTGTAATAGAATAACTCTTGCTATTTTCCATTCAAATGGAACAGTTTCATTAAAGATTGCCGCATGAAAATCTTTGTTAATGGATCAGCAATATAGACGTTTCC